TACGACAAGCTCGGCCGAAAATAGCCGATATATTATATAATATAATTTAAGATAAAATAAAAATCAATCAAAATACATAAAATAAACGACAATAAATTAGCTGAATTAAAAAATGTTATTTTATTAAATAAACAAAAAAAATCAAATTAAATAATTTAACATAAAATATATTAAAATAAAATAAAATTCAATACAATGAAAAAAAATAAATAATTATAACATAATAAAACTATCAAAGAACAGATCAAATCAAATACTTTTAAGTAAATGAAAATTAAATTAATTATACTAAAATAAAAAAAATATTTAAATTAATAAAATAAATAAATAAAGTTAAATACCATAAGATAAAATAATATAGACATAATATAATATATGTAGACACAGACATATGTGCACAAAACCAAGAATTTTTCAGTATACCTGTAGATACATATGTACATCTTTCCTAAAACATTTCTGCTGAGTCAACGATCTGTAGGAAAAATGTGCAATAACGAAATATAAAAAACAAGTAGGCTCCGAATCTAAAGTTAACAGATTTACATATGTACTTCCATATACAGCCATGGTCACGCAAATAGCACAAAGTGTATCACACGAGAAAATGTAACTCCTCTGAGGAAAAAAACGGTATTTTTCTGAATAAAAAAATGTATAATAGTTACATATGTTATATAGTTTACAGTGCGTTTCGTCCATTCCCGTTATCTTAGCAACCATATTTTTTTCGTCGATTTATTTGATCGAGCTATCAATTTGTGGTGGTTACGCAAATAGCACAGTCAACGGTTGGATCTTGAAAGTATCTTTTTATTTATTTTTAATGAAATTTAAATACATTTAAAGTTCAATTCTATCAAAATTTACGCAGATTGAACTAAAATGGGTTGCGGTAAACACTGTACTCCTTAAAAAAGAAGCATTATTTATAACATGGCTAAGACAGGGAAAAATGTTTCAGAAATTGCAGTTTTCTTGAATTATTCCCGTAAAAGAGTACATAATGTCTTTAAAATGGTTCAAGGGAGTGAAGATTATCTATCTCAAAACAAATCCAAGGCACCTGCTCTGCGCAAGACATCGATTTTTGAAGACAGGGGCAAAATACGAAAAAGGAAGCTAGATCCTTTTAAATTTTCTAGGCAAAATATGCTGAAAATAAACGAAGAATTCGATTTGACTATATAAAGAAGCCATGTCGGAAGGCGTTTAAATAAGACCCAGCTCTTTGGACGCAATACCCGCTAAAAAAACACTCCTGTCAAAACGGCATATAGAAAAACGGTTAAAGTTTGCTAAGACGCCTGTGAACCGGGCGATTAGTTTTTGGAAAAATGTGTTATGGGCCGATGAAACTAAAATAAATAGAATGAAGCCAGATGGGAAAACCATATTTCATCGCCAAAGAGGTCAAGATTTGAATCCTAGGTACAATAAAAAGACCATAAAACATATAGGCGGTGATATCATGATTTGGGGGGCATTTTCCTGGCATGGTGTAGGACCAATTGTGCGAATAAATGAAAAAATGGACAAATATCAATATCTGGACATCTTAAAGAATTAAATGGAACCATTCGTATGTGACTCCATGCCACCAAATTGCAATTTTATGCAGGATAATGTACCTAAGCATACCGTGAAAGTCACATAAGATTGGCTTAAGACGGAGAATACTCGTGTTTTGGATTAGCCTGTGCAAAGCCCAGACCTAAACCCAATAGAAAATTTATGGAACGATGATAAAACAAAAATATCTGCAAAAAATTCGATGATTTGTGGGAGGACGTCAAGGAAGAGTGGTACTCCATACCGAAAGAAAAATATGAGAAATTTGTTGAGAGCATGGGACGCAGATGTTAAGCTGTTATTAAAAATAGTGGATATATTACCAAATACTAATAGATAAGACCTACTTAAGACTAATAATGGTATATGATCTGGCATATTTGAACTTAAAATTACAAGTTTTGTAAAATGTGCTACCAGAGAATTTCATTAGGAACCTCAAACTTTGAATGATTTTAAATTTTCATTGAATTATTATTAAGTTTTTGTATAAAGGTTGTGTTAAATAATAACTAAGTGAACACTTCGTTACAATATTTTCATATTTTAAGCACAGATATCCCTTTGTTTCATTATTATGCATCGGAAGGAAAGTTGTGCTATTTGCATGACCATGGCTGTACATATAGCTAAAAGAAAAACATTTTTTTTTGTGAATATATTTGAAAATAAAATCGTTATTTTCTTTTACATTTCCACCAATAATAAAAATGGAATGCATTTATATTTTTAAACCTATGGACGTTTTAAGTACATATTTATTTAATTTTATGTATTTTGCTTTTTTTTGTATGTCGTTGACATTTTTATGGCATTCAAATTCATAACTGGAAAATATAATTAAACCGAAAAAAATCAGTGTAACCCATGAGCTGGCAATTTAAGTAATTAAACTGAAAAAAAACAAAAACGAATATTAATTTAGTTTCAATTAATTAGAGAATTTTGCGAAAAACTAAGTATGCACGACGAACCTGTTGGTTTTGATAAATATTCAAAAAGCGCTTAATTTTTGAAATATTGAAATATGTTTTTCTAGTTGAAACCGCTTTCGAGCATGAATAAAATATTAGCTATGATTTTTTTTTTTGCTTTTTTTTTTTTGTTTTTTGTTTAAACTCTCATTTTCATTTTAACAGCCACCGAGTCTTTACATAATGAATTAATTAGTTTATTGGCTTTTTTTTGCTAAAAAAAAACGCTTTGTCAGTGTCAGTAAAAAAATTTCACAATAAATTGCTCTTATAAATATGTAAATAAAATACAATTTATGTATACTTATTTATGTGGTCATTAGTGGTGTGCGCACTGCTAACCACCCGGCTAATGCGGGACGCTTCTTTCTTTCGACATAAACTACTCTGAGATACGGATACAAATTTAGAATTTTATTAACACAATCACTCATCTCATCTGTTGAGCTCATAGCGAACGGAGATCGAACGGCTATACCTTCTTAATGTTAAATCTAATCATCAAAGAGTGACATCGTTAAGAGTCTCAACAGCAACAGTTGCGATATTCTCTTCAGACAACTGAGCTGATTTCAATGATACTATCTAAACGCAAAGTATTATCACTCTTTGTAGAGCCTCTTAAAGCTCGTCAGATCTTCTGATATGATTGCTTAGAACCTTTGACTGCGGTCTTGACAAGCCGACTTAAAGAGAATCGAAATTGTGTTTACTTTTTTCCGATATATCATATGAAGTTGTACTTTCAGTCAGACTTTTACAATTGAAATATAGAATTTGTTATGATTTTATATTTTTATTACAGCTTAGTCGTATGCTGGCCTGAGATTGCCGACGCCATCATCCTACAATTTTACTGCAAGTCAAAATCTGAATGTATCGTAATCGCCAATTGTATACCATCGCAAAAACTTAGATGGCATCTATTAGTTCCCAGTCTCCTCGTACTTTTACTCACATCCCATAAAATGATATCAGCGAACCTCACTTGCTCGCCCATGCTTGAAGATAAATTTTTAGTGTTGCACAGTGTCAGTTTGCACAGCCGAATATGCTACGCGAAGATTGCAAATTCGGACATAGTGACCACCGAAGGCTATTTTCCAATTGACGAAGAGTTGGTGTGTACCGATAATTTTCTCACGTGCCTTTTTCAATATTTGGGGTATGATTTTGCACTTTATTTCACACAGCGCGCTCGGCAGGACCTCATACCTTATATTGAAGAGGCTTATCGCACTAAAATTGACTACACTCATCCAGTCAAGCTATATTTGAATAGCTAAGTCGTTAAGCCATCGGTTGTCGTTGCTCTTTATTAGTTATACTAGCTGGTAGTCACGTGATACATAGACCTGCTGGTCCTGGTTGTAATATCAGATGGATGTTCAGTTTAGCTCGAGCTGAGGTAGTCGTCATATAGGGAAGTTTAGTTCTTTGAACTTCGAGGCTTTTAGATATCTGAGGAGAATAGAAGCAGATGAAATGTTCCAGCGTCTTACTCATGCCTTCTTTCCTGAACTTTCTGCATGTGCCATTGTTACTGAGTCCCATTCGGATCGCGTGTAATACCAATAGTTTATATCCTCTCACAGGGCCACCAAAGCGCTGCAGCCGCCATATTTACCGTCTCCCATTTCTCTAACTACTCCTTAGTTATCTACCCTTTCAAGGAAGTAAAATTTAATCATTGGGCCCTAGTCCACTTCTGAAAAAGATAACTTTACACAATTATCGAGGGAAGTGTTCAAGTGAATCGAACACTAACCACGAGTTTTGGCAATAGATCGATTCGTGGTGCACTTGTCAGAAGTAAAAATGTTCTTTTTTCAATCCACTTACCGAAAAATTGCTTATGTAACATCATTATTCTGGAAATCACGAACAACCGACAAAAAAAAATACGCGGTGTTTTTTAAGAATGTAGTTCTCAATACGAAATAAATCGTATATAATTGAATGATGTGGCCAAGAATGTAGCTTTTCTTAAAGATAAGGTTCTCCAATATATGTTTTCTTAAAAAGTTTTCCGGCAAGCGACCGCCGCGGCTGGATCGAAAACATTCCATTCAAAAGCCGCAGTTTTCATCCGTTTTTCGCAACAATTGCGGTCGAATTTTCTCAATCGAAACGTCAATCGTCTCGGGCGTAGCCAAGCGACTTTATATAAGCCCACAAAAAATTGTCCAGCGGTGTCAAATCACACGAGCTCGGAGGCCGCGTTACAAACTAAGCTCTTTAAAAAATTCCTCCAATAAATGAATTGTTTCGTTGGCCGTATGACATGTAGCGCCGTCTTATTTGAACTGAAAGAATGTGAACTTTTCTTTTCTTAAAATCTAGAATTAAGAACGTCAAAAACGGGATCCTATTAAAATAATTAAACCAATTGTTTATTGACTTGACTTGAAAATAATTTTGAGAAATCATGTAATTATATCTCGAAATTCGCAGCCACCGGTACCATATGGCGCTTGGAGTGGTGAGAAGCGTGTTATAGAAGATTCACCTATATGTATGCAACGTGATCCTTATCGACGTGATCTGGAAATTGAAGGTAGCGAGGATTGCCTATACTTGAATGTTTATACGCCAGAGGTGAAGAACATTAACAAATATTATACTAATATTTATCTAACCATTTAACTGTCAAAAAATACTTCGCAGGAGCCCGCTGATACCGGTGATCTTCCAGTCATGGTATATTTTCATGGTGGCGGCTTTCAATGCGGCTCTGGTGTTAGCAGCTTTTATGGACCCGATTTTCTACTCGATCATGATGTTGTTTTGGTGATCGGCAATTATCGTGTCGGACCACTTGGCTTTCTCAGCACCGAAACACTCGATTGTCCCGGCAATTTTGGTTTGAAAGATCAGGTAGAGATTTTGCGTTGGGTCAAACAAAATATTAAAGCCTTCGGTGGTGATCCGAAAAGTGTAACTATATTTGGTAATAGTGCAGGTGGCGCGAGTGTTACATATCATATGCTCTCGGATTCATCTAAAGGTAATTGCGAATAGTTGCGTAAATTGTGCGATTAATCAATCACTCAGACATTGTTTAGGAATCCAAATTGTGATTGATCGAATAAGTTTATGATTAAGTAAAGTCATTATAAAAAAACGATATGAAAAGAATATTTATCGATTGATTAATTAATCGGGCAGCTACGATTGAGATCATTGCTTTCACAATTTAATCTCAATTTGCCATATTTGTCTGCAGGTCTCTTCCACAAAGCCATCATACAATCGGGCACCTATTATAATCCTTGGGCACAACCACAATACAAGGGTGTATCCGTGGAGCGCGCAAGAACGGCCGCATTTATGGTGGGTTGTGGCAATTACTCTGAATGGCCGGAAATACTAGAATGTATGCGTGGAAAGAGTGCCGAGCTGGTTGTCTCCACAGTCTATACGTTGTTTGTGAGTACGACGCAACTAAATATCAACACCGTTAAATAAACCCAAACTTAATTTTCTTCACAGAAATGGGACTACGATCCCATGGTGCCATATCAACCGGTTGTGGAGGTGCCACATGAGGGTGCATTCCTAACAACTTTGCCACGTAATGTTGACGTACCACATGGATTTCAATTACCAATCATGATTGGCGCCACCTCAGAGGAGGGCCTACTCAAAACAGCGCCTCTACTTAATGTGCCACTTCTCTTGGATGATTATATAGATAAGTTTGAGCAAATTTTACCAATTCAATTGCAATACGATCATCACCCCAAAGAGGTGGTCGCACAGATTACGCGGGACATTGAGAAATTTTATTTGAAGAACGGACATACCTATAACAAAGAGAATCATCAGAATTTGACCGATGTAAGTATTCACACTTGCTTTGCTTATTATATTAAGACCTTAAATGTTTTCTTAACCTCACTCGATAGCTCATCTCAGATGGTTGGTTTATAGCTGGCATTGATGAGTATATACGTCAGCGTATTGCCGCTAAGGACTCATTAAAAAATACCATATTACCTTCCCTCTATGTATATCTCTTCGAACATCGTAGCCCAGCCAGTTTTTCGGAGCTCTTCAAGGGTGGTCATGAGGATTATTATGGTGAGTCAGAAATAGTTTTGTTTTAAACATTTAAATTTTAATAAATTTTACCATTAATTTTATCGCTAGGCGCTTGTCATGCCGAAGAACTTCAATACTTATTCCCTATCGCTTCGCAATTATTTGTGACGTCAGCACCAACCAAACAGGACTTAGAGCTCCGTGAAGCCATGCTGAGCATGTGGGTGAATTTCGCCAAAGAGGGGTAAGTTAGCAAGGGTTAGCTTAAAAGTCACATGCATAGATTAGGCGTAAGCCTAGGTTTATTTTATAAAATTGGGTAATAAATTAATCTGTTAATTGGAACAGCTGATCGCGATGACGTACTCATAGCTGAGAGTCAAGAAGCTGGCTTAGAGTTTAACTATTTTCTTAACGCTGATTATCTTTCTTATAAAAGTTCAAGTTTGCTAATGTAGAGCTCGATAATTTGTATACCATATAAACAGGAAGGCCCAAAATATTTGACTCCATGTCTGAAATTAGTATTCAAAGCCGTCTTTCCTTTGTCATAAGTTTTTTCCAGAGGTTTGGACATAATTTCAGCAAACTCTGGGCAATATTTAAGCATTAAACTTCTTTATTAAATGTAGAATCTCTGAAGAAATTTGCTAAGGATTTCCAATTCCCTAAATACAATTAAGAATCTGGAAACCTTAGACTTCCTGAAGGGATGAGAACAATGGAGGCTTACCAAACGAGAACACAACAAGCCTTATCTCGAAAGCTTAAGAACTCATGAGCATATTCTGTAGCAATAACGTCCAGTCTCTGTCAAATACTGACCGAAGATCTTGCAATCACTGCCTATCAAAGTCATGATGTGTCCTCTTCAATGCAAGCAGAATCATTAGCAGCTTGGAGTCTGATAATTCAATTAACCGATCCCAGAGTTATATGGAAAGTTTTTAGCTACAGTCGCATCTTGATCTTCGAAGGGAGTGTATTTCTGGCACGAAACTAAAATATCTCCTCATAAAAATCCACACACATACATATATAATTGGTGTTTTCTAACCACCGAATCAAATTTCGTCCGAACTCGTTCTCCGTTTTGTGGTGTGCGTCCTATTATTTTTCCAATGAATGGAGCTACCTGTAGTTTTCGAGAAGTCTCCTACGAACGGCTGATAATTTTTTTTTATAAGGAGCTTTTAACTCATGTCAGAAATACGCTATCGGAACGCTTGACAATCCCTACCGAGGAGCGGCCCCAATTAGAAAAATTAAAAGTAGATATTGATCAAGCCAGCACTCGAATCCTGGCCTTCCGAATGGTAGTTGGCAACGCTAAGTACTCGGCTATTGTGATCGGCAAAAGACTATGCAGAGGAGCTCGATCGAAAATCGTTTCAGCGGCTAAAAAGCGACAGTTATATGTTCTAAGAAAGGAATATTAAAGTTGCCACTTATACGTTGTACATACGATCTCTGCAATCCTCATGCTTCCCTGTTCATCAACAAGTATAACAGCATTTCCTTAACTCTTTCAACCTATACAAAAAGAGATCAGTTGTAAAAGCACTCCAGCCTTGACTAATTCATACGCTGCCCGGTTGACTTTAACATCCCTGCGTCCAAGTATGCAAATAAGCTGAAAAGTGTTGGTCCACCCTACCAGCTTAGCTGCATTCCGCCTCAGCGAGCATATACTAGAATTTCGCTTTTTCTGGCTCGACCCAATAGACCGATTCAATTCATTTTAGAGACATCCCAACTGGCTTGTACAACTCTGAACTCGAAGCCGATCTGTCGCTTTCTACTGTAGCTGCAAGTACGCTGTTGAAACTCTGGCGCGGGTCCGTTTAGTCTATCCTTCGAGTACTACTATGCCCAATCAGTGTAGATTTCAGGAAACTGGAAACGTATACGCTAAGATCTTAGCTGCACAAGTTTGCGGGGGGGCATGTAAAGAAACACATGAAACACCACTTAAGACCACTCTTCGCCTTCGTTAATCTGATGCCAAAAAATAATCCGCTGAAATTTATTACAATTTTTTTTAGCGATGGTTATTCCCATTATAAGTAAAAAATATTTAATTAAATTTTTTTTTTTGTTTTAATATTTTTCAAAAAATCTTTGTTCTCCATCCAACTTAGTAATCCAACACCTGCACACTCTAATCTTCCACATTGGGAGCCGGCTAATACTTATCCAGTGCCTTATGCACGACTGGGCCACAAATCATCAGAGGAATTCACAATATTACAAATGGAAAGAAATATGTATGAAGATCGTGTGAATTTCTGGCGTAAGCTGAAGGCGCATATTCCAGCCGAGCAGCGTATGAGAGCGATGAAAACGGCACCGAGAGAGGAATTGTAAAATGTACAAAGTGAGAGAAATTTTATTAAAAAAAAAACAAAATATTAGCAGAGCTTGAAGTTATAAATCTGCAATTTTAATATATTTAAAAAAAAAGTATAAATAAGTGAGTTGTCCATCGTATTTCTTTAAGTTTTATTCCTTTTTAATAAAAATGTAGAATTAAAATAAACTAAAATAAGTGACATGTTTTTGTGATCCTCTTCCCGGTAAGTGAGTATTTTATATGTCAAGTCCATGGTTCTTTACTGAGAAAGAAGAGTACTCTTCAAGTTTATTTAGACAAAAATATACCTTCTGTTCCAGATCGGTATCTGGTCCGATTCCTGCAAGGTTAGCATTTCTGGAAAATCGAACTACAAACTCATTTTTTTTAGTCTTCCTTGAAGATTAAGCTCACTTTAAGCCAATCGAACCATAAATACGATTTTTCGAATAAGTTGGTGCCTGGTCTAGCCATAAAACAAATTAAGAACTCCCATGAACAAGAACAGGGTATATTCGACGACGAAAAGCTACAACCACAACAGACAACCGAACGGTTTCCTATTTTCTTGAACACCTACTCTCTGAGAGCACTCATCAAAATATTGGTATAAGGAAACTGTGGGACGACTTACTACGACAGGCTGCGAATGAAAATATTGATTTTCGTCAAGTAAAAAAGAAAAGCTGGTACGATGCGTATTGCCATACTCTAGAGGAGAGATAAAATGCGGTCTACATCGCAACAGCCGCTATGTGGGACAGTTACTACTATTTTACGAGAGAATCGATACTCCTTTCCAGCGCAAAAAATAGGAGAGGTCACAAAGCCTCATTACCAAAAAATAGAGGAGATGGTCGACTAGCGGAAAACTTCGAAATTTCGTGGAAAAAAATGTGGTAACGGGAGCATATATTGTATATGTAGGGTTTAAAGAGTCGATCTGACAACTAGTATGCAGCGTATATTGCATTCGAAGAAAGATTGCAGTGAAAGTGAAACATCCCTTACCCGTTTTTGATGTTTACTTGAGGAACAATAAAACGGCGGGTACAAATTACTTACCGCCACTAAGTTCTTCGAATTCAAAGATGAAGAACTGCAAAACGCATGCATCCGGCTCTTTGCAAAAAAAATGTTCACCTTATTCTGCTCTATCCTTTACAAGCAGGGAAAGCCCACGATCTACGTCATATCGTGGTATGAACCTTCTCAATATCGCGTGTAAGGCCCTTTCGAGATTACTGTGAGAAAATCTACAGCCAACCGGCAACGATTTGATTGAAGCTTGAGGTAAAAGTGAAGTGAAGTGTCAAGAAAAAGGCCCACGAGAAAAGGATCCTACACTTCTTCATAAATTTTCGCCCAACTTTCGACAGTACAAAGAGGAACTACCTCTCCCCCGCTATATTGACAGCTTTGTTAGAATCGGAAAGGATCTTTCAGAGTCGTCCCATATAAAATTAAACTTAATGCTGGGGAAAATAATTCGAGCTGCTAAACTAAATAGGAAAGATGAAATCATCTACCATCGTACAACTGCTGGCGGGTATTGCCAACCTGTATGATCAGGTGACGAAGGACCTGGCTACACGTAATGTCCTCAACTGGTGCTTAATGGCGAAAGGAAGGAACCACTAGCGTGAGTTTGTTTCCTCAGCTATAATCAGGTAAGCGGTGGCTACATCCTTAAAGAAGGAAAGAGTAAAAGGTATACTCAACGGAAGCATACGATGAAGTCAATATTTAGGATCCCAGAGTTAAGTTTCATTGTCGAACCTGTAAATTTTTGTATATACACAGATACCTGTCGCCTTTTAATGATAAGTCCTCACTTCAAATCACTGATTTTATGATAGAATATGTTTGTGGAACTACGAATATTGAAATCTTAAATAACCGCGTGACGAATGACCGACATAACCTAGAATAGATAAATAAGAAAGAGCAATTGAAAGCGGAAATGTTCCAAAATTTCTTATTCACCCGCACTGCCAGCGGAATTTAATGTTGTCCAAAGCAACTTCGAATAAATTCATTTATATTCATTATGACTGTTGAGGAGGATGTACTTTGGGATTGATTACAATTTCGTCTAAAAATATCACTTTAGTATGGGCAATACATTGTTTCTTATCTTTTTTCACTCTCGTTGAAAGATTCGCAAAGTAAATTTTATTTCTAATTATTCTATTTACACATATTTTTTGCAATTTCATCAGTTGCATTTGTGTAATTTATAAATACTCAAATTGATGATAACAGTGTTTAGTTTAGATTATATTTTATTGTTTTTAGTTTATGCTGACGACCTGACCAAACATTGTTGTGGCTTTCTGTATTTTTGTGCAGTTTTTATTCTACAATAATTGATATTGCAAAGAGCGAGAGAGAGTCTTTCACTAAAGTCTCAATATGAATGCACCGAAATAAGCCGAACGCACCATTCGGATATTCCAGGTTTCTAGTCTATTTTCAGGAAAAAAAAGTATTCCATTTTGGCGGAAATCATAACAAAGACTTTCAAATAACTTACTTAATTTAATGGCGTAGGCACCGCTTACGCGATTATAGCCGATTTAACAACACTGCGCCATTCGATTCCTCTTTTTGATGTTTGGCGCCAATTGGAATTACCAAGTACAGCCAGGTCCTTCTCTACCTGGTCTTTCCAAAGGAGTGGTGGACTTCCTGTTCCTCTGCTTCCACCGGCGGATACTGCATCGAAAACTTTCAAAGCTGGAGTATTCGCTTCCATCCGGACTACGTGACCTATCCAACGGTGCCACTGCTTTTTGATTCGCTGAACTATATCAATGTGGCCGTATAACATAACGTACAGCTCATCGTTCCATCGTCTGCGGTATTCGCCGTTGCAAACGCGCAAAGGACCATAAATCTTACGCAAAACCTTTCTCTCGAAAACTCCTAACCACGACTCATCAGATATTGTCACCGTCCATGCTTCCGCATCATATAGCAGGACTAGAACTATGAGGAACTTGTAGAGTTTGGTTTTCGTTCGCCGAGAAAGGACTTTACTTTTCAACTGCCTACTCAGTCGAAAGTAGCATCTGTTAGCAAGAATGATTTTGCGTTGGTTTCCCAGGCTGACATTGTTGTTGGTGTTAATTCTGGTTCCTAGATAGACGAAATTATCTATGACTTCAAAGTTATGACTGTCAACAGTGACGTAAGAGCCGAGTCGCGCATTCGCTGTTTGTTTGATGACAGGAGATATTTCGCCTTGCCCTCGTTCACTACCAGACCCACATCGTTTGCTTCCTTATCAAGTCTGGAGAAAGCAAAACTCTCGACGCGGTTGTTGAGGCTGATAATGTCAATATCATCGAACCATAAATAAGAATTTCCCGTACAAACCTTTGCAGGAACAATCGAAACTGACTAATTTTGTGCGTAATCTGCCTGATAGTTTCGTAGATCAATGACGGGATAACCATAAAATTAGCGCCTTCGAAGTGTTCAGAACAAAAAGCTGGGAGTTTTTGACATACACAAGGGTTTCGCTAGAGCCGTGCGAAGAGTCATTGCTCACAGGGCATACGTTGGCTTCATCCAGTCGGGTTAAACCGGTACACTTTCGTTCAGTTGGTGGAAGGAGTCATCGTTAATTTCATGGGTTATAGTTGTAGTTTTAATTATAGTGCAGCCCAAGATAACAGTTTACTTTCCTACAGAGATTATACGACCGCACTAAAAGATAGTAAAACCATTCTGGTGATGGTGAGAGTTTCGTGATATAAAAATTAAATGCAAACGGTGAGAAGTTTTACACCGATGGTTGTCTACCACGCAGATAATTCGTGGTCCACTTTTTTGTTTCAAGCAGTAATGAGAAGCTCCGCCTTTGTGCGGGTTTGACCGTATCGGAGGTTTGAGTCCACTGGTACTAAAACAGTACATGCGCAGATTCGTGTTGAGAACTTTCAAATCATAAGTATCTGCGCCCGGAAACAAATCCTACTTCACGCCATCTCAGCTTGTGGGTTCTGGTAGAGATTATAAGATGATGGCCCTCCGCAGGAGAGGAACTAAATAACCTCTTTCCGTTTTACACAAATATGATCCTACTTCAAAACCTTCACGTTTTCTTGCAGTTTTTTGTGGAAATTTAGAACATTTTAGCTGCCAGTCAGCACATTAATCTTTCTCTTTCCCAGCCTTCCCTCTAACTATCACTCTCATTCTATCTCTCTCTCTCTCTCTCTCTTTCTCTCCCCCTCTCATTCTCTCTTATAATATGTACCCGCTTTCATCTCTCGATGTCTTTCTATGCGAACTCCTTAAATTTTTGATGTTCGTCTTCAGCAAAATTATTGATCTACAGGGACCATCTATATGCTTCCACGTACAGGCTCCGAACTCAAACGCCGGTTAGAGTTATTTACTTCCTCCTGAGATTTTCAAGCCTTATCTAACTTTTACTTAAAACAAAAAATAGTTTTAATTTTAAATTAAATATTCATAATTATTTTTATTTTCACGGGAATTTTTGGCTGGCAACCCTGCTCGTCTGAGTAAACCACACTCTAATCGCTGTATTATAAAAGTAACAGTTCTTCAACCGGAAAATTTATTAAATTCAATATATTCTCGAACTATTAAGAAAACATTGCAATAATCCAAGGAGTAGTATTATAAAATATACAATACAAGCCGCCAGAAAGATGTGGAAGCACTCTGTATCCTTCCTACTTTTTATTCTTATTTGGTGTGATTTTAACAATTTGGCCACGGCGCGCACATCGAAAAAATTGAAAGTGCGATTACCAGATGATGGCATATTAGTTGGACGCCATTGGACGTCACACAAAGGTCGAAGTTTACGTGCATTTCTCGGTATACCCTACGCCCAACCGCCTATTGGACTGCTTAGATTTTATGTGAGTGACAATAAATATTTATAATTCGCATATTTAATATTTATCCGACCAAATTATTCGAAGAGTATTTTTGCCTCCAGAAGTATGCTAAAAGATGCACCTTATCTCAACTTCCCCCTCTCTCTCTCTCTCTCTCTCTCTCCCTCTCTCTCTCTCTCCCTCTCCCTCTTTCTCTCTTCCCCATTTATTTCGTTCCTTTTTATCTTTTTAAATATTTATATATATATATATTTTTTTTCCTCTAGCAACCGCTTCCATATATATCTTGGGATGGTGAGCGCCTTGCTATTCAAGATGCACCAGAATGCATGCATCGTGATCTTTATACACAACGGCCAGATATCTATGGTAAAGAAGATTGTCTTTACCTTAACGTTTACACACCAGAGGTAAAATTCGCTAAAAGTAATTTAATTATTTTTTAATTACAAAGAAAAAATTTTTTGTTGCAACAGAATGCAAATCCATTGAAACCCTTGCCTGTCATGGTCTATTTTCACGATGGTGGTTTAACAAGCGGCTCAAGCTTAAGCCAACAATATCGTCCAGATTATTTGCTGGATCATGACATTGTGCTGGTTACTGGTAACTATCGTCTGGGTGTACTGGGTTTCCTTAGCACGGAATATTTTGATTGTCCGGGTAATTTCGGTCTGAAAGATCAAGTTGAAATGCTACGTTGGGTAAAGAAAAATATTAAATCCTTCGGTGGTGATCCGAAAAGTGTAACGATTTTCGGTAATGGTTTCGGTGCAGCTAGTATTACTTATCATCTCTGGTCGAATTTATCCAAAGGTAAGTGTTCTTCCCTGTTTCTATTGGGCAGTAGTAAGTAATTTAATATAATAAAGCATTAAGGTTGTTATGGTTAGGATATAAGAAATTAAATAAAATAAAAATATATAAAAAAAATAAATCAAATTAAATAATATAATGTAAAAAATTCAATGAAAGGAAATATGAAAATTTTAAATAATGAATTAAATAAAAATTAAATAGAATAAAAATGAACTAAAATAAAGCAATGCAAAAAAATAAGAAATAAATAAAACAAAATAAAAAAATAGCTAAAATAGAAACAAATTAATAAAACAAAAATTAAAATAAAAATAAAACTTAAATTAAATTAAATAATTGTTAATTAAAATAAAAATTAAACAAAAACAAATAAATTCAGCTAAAACTGCTAAAGTATAATAAAATACAATGAAATAAAAAATAAAATAATAAAAAAGGAATAACAAAAAATAAAGGAATGAAAAAACAAAAAAAAAGTAAAATAAAATATTTTATTGTTTATTAATTTAAAATTAACCAAAAAAAATTAAAAAAGAAACAAAACAAAATTAAATAAACAACAAAACATAATGAATTAAATGTAAAAAAATATATTGTAATAGAATTAAATAAAATTAAGAAATTAATTAATTAAAGAAAAAATAAAATTAAATTAAATAAACTGGTATAAAAAAAATAAATTAAATAAAGTAAAACAAAACCAAGTAAGGTAATATAAAATAAAAGATTATTTTTTAATTGAAATTAAACAAAAAACATAGTTTTAGTATGCAACGAAATAATAAGAAAAAATAAAACCAAATTAATTAAAATAAAATTAAATCAGATAAAGTTAAAAAACATAAAAACAAAAATAATATTACAATAAAAAAGAAAGAAATTCATTAAATTGAAAAAATTAAATTCAAAATCATAAAATATAATGGAATTAAATATAATAAAATAAAACAAAGTATAAAAAAATATAAGTGGCGGTCACGGTATCGGAGCGGCTAGCATTGCGTACTGCCATTCGAAGGGTTCGGGCTCAAATTCCGTCGACATCAACATTCAAAAGTCATTGAAAATTATTTAAAAAAAAAAAAATAAAGTTAAATTTTATAATTGCGGTCGCCCCTCGGCAGGGAATTTTGGACATGACATAAAATAAAGGCTCCTTGTTAAAAACCATCAGCCGTACGGAGGCGGCTTAGTATTAACTGTAGGTCCCTTCTTTTGTTGGAAAAGCATCGAGACGCAAAATCACAAATTGGAGGAGGAGCTCGGCCAAAAAAATCGCTTCAGCGGTTACGAAGCGTCAATTTTATATTGGTCAAGTAAAAAGTTCGTTCGGTTTTTATGGCGTTATTAGTACCAGTGTTACGCGTCGCATCATGCCATACTAACGGCGTGTTTATTCGCGCGAACGTGTACACAAAAGCCAGAAAACCGTTTGGAATCAACCTTGGATTCAAAAAAAAAAAACCTTGATGTTGGGTGCCATACGAACTAACGCAAAAAAAATACATTATGGACGGAATTTCCATCTGCGAATTGCTGCTAAATCGCAACAACATCGACCCGTTTCTGAAGCGGATTGTGACTGGCGATGAAAAATGGGTCACTTACGACAGCATCGAGTGCAAACGGTCGTGGTCAAAGCTCGGGGAAGCGGCCCAGACGGTGGCCAAGACCGTATTGACGGCCAGGAAGATTTTACTGTGTGTTTGGTGGGATTGGCAGGGAATCATCTACTACGAGCTGCTCTCGTATGGTCAAACGCTCAATTCGGCCCTATACTGCCAACAGGCCGAATTGTGCTCCATCAGGACAACGCCAGGCCGCACACACATCTTTGGTGACACGCCAGAAGCTCCAGGACTTAAATCGTACAAATGTACACAAAGTTATCATATTTTGAGAAAAATCAATAAAAAAAAAACCGAATGACCTTTTGACCTAATATATGTACATATGTTTCATTTTGTTCTTACTATATTAATAAATCCGCATTGTTCACGCAGGACTTTTCCACAAAGCCATTGTTCAGTCGGGAACCTATTTCAATCCATGGGCACAACCCCAGGTAGTAGTACCCCCTCTTGTGCATGTAAATCTACTTGGAATCTTAACCGCTTGTAATGGATTTGAATACGAAGGGGATATGATGCGATGTTTACGTATGGCAGATGCAAGGGACCTTGTTGGAACTAGCTTTGAGGTTTATGTGAGTTTTAGTTAAAACTAGTTTGTAAGCTGAATTAATTTTGATATACATACGTATATTGTATATTTTACTTTCCGCAGGCCTGGGATTTTAACCCAATAGTAACACTCCCACCGGTCTATGAGCCTCCACATGAGGGTGCATTCCTTACGCATTTGCAAGGCCGAGATGAATTGCCGCACGGCTTTTTTCTGCCACTCATGATTGGTGCCACATCAGAAGAGGGCTTAGTCAAGACCATACCTTTAGTTAATACGCCCGATGCATTAATAGATTTCAAACTTTCTATGAAGTGGCTTCTGGCAGTGGCATTGCAATACGAACAGCATAATGATATGGATCAACTTCTGATTACGGATAAAATTCAAGGTTTCTACTTTAAGAACGGACCGGATTTCAACAAATATGATCATACAAATTTAACGGCTGTAAGTAAGAGTAGATTTTAAATCCACATAGTGCATACATACACACTGTCAACTGTAACCACATACCTCTCGGCAGGCCTTCTCTGATGCATTGTTTCTGGCGGGCATTGATAAGTATATACGTATGCGTATGAACGCACAGCTGAATAACACAACGCCACCGTTTTATGTATATCTCTTTGAGCAGCGCGTTCCAGCGAGTTTTACCGAGCTACTCATGGGCGGAAGTGAGAAATTCTCCGGTACGTCTTTCCATTCAGCTGGAATTCAGAGCTTCCGCGCTCTTGTTTATTGATTTTAAGAACTTTTTTTTATTTTAGGTGTTTGCCACGGCGATGAACTGCAATATCTTTTCCCGTTGGGTCCGAAATACTTTCCAACAGCATCACCCACAGCGGACGATGTGAAACTGCGTGAGGCCATGGTGGCAATGTGGGTGAACTTCGCCAAAGAAGGGTGCGGAACTTTTTATGTTTTTTTTTTTTTTTTTGGTTTAACTAAAATAATTCCATTTCACAGTAATCCAACGCCTGCCGGTTCTAATCTGCCTTTATGGGAACCCGCCAAAGAGTATCCAGTGCGATATGCCCGGCTGGGCAATAAACATCCATCAAATTTTACCTTATTAGAAATGCAGAGTAATATGTTTGAAGATCGCCTGAACTTTTGGCATGAACTGAAACCTCATCTTACAAAGGTAGAGCGTGAGTTTGAGCTAACTGGTACTCTCTCAATGTAAAAACAGAGAAAATAAATTTTTAAACTGAAAATAACTTACACGTGTCTGTATACTTGGTCCTTTGATTCTGTGCTCCATAGAACAGCAGGAGCTTCAGTGATCTGATCAGCAAGCACGTAACTACATATTTTCGTAGGGTAGACAGGAAAAAGTGGTTGATGTGTTGAGAACTTCAAAACACTTAGTCCGAATTGTATCCAATGTGATGCAAAGAATATTTCATTTTGCCGCCGCAAAGACTTTCCATGAAAACGGCTGTAATAAGCCAAGCTTCACTTCTGCTTGCATAGGGCAATCGGGATGAATGAGAAATCGTCTCTACCTACTGGTCGTTTCTGCAGCTCCTACATCACCTTTTAACCTTTTCCTATGCCACTCGATGAACAAGAACTAAGCTCTACTTGTAGGTCATTATTCCCATGACTTCCGATGAATCGAATACCTATATGAGATATGCGACTTCATTGGCATAGTTCAGAGAATGAAGAGACAGTTCAAATGTACGAAAGTACTCCAGCTCCGAAAGTATTCAATGTAGTACCCGCTGGTGAAAGCTGAGGAAGAGGAAAGCTCCGTGTCGGTTGGAAGAAGCAAATGAAGCTTCTGAACTGGCTTCTGGTGTCTCCTCTTTCCTAAAGAAGAAATGACTGGCACGCTATTTTTTGTCTACAATCGCCTAAACGATAGCTACGACAGTTAATAGTCTTTCCTACTGGGAAACATTGTCATATGGTTGGAGCGGGTACCCAAAGAAGAATCGCAGAAGGATCAATCTGTGTAGGTTTTTCACAGTTGTTCCATGTTTTGCCGATAACTCTTTTAGAGACAGAGAGAGCGGTGAAGGCCTTCACATATCTCTGAGTTGTTTTCTTTTTCCTAATCATTTTCTTGACCAAAATCTTGGAATTAAGTGAACTCTACTCAGCGCTGGTGAACTTGAGACGGTAGCTTACATTCGGTCGAAGCTAGTGATGAACAGCAACTACCTTTTTCAATCTTTCAGGCAGCATACGGATTCCACATCTGAATAAATCCTCATCTATTCAGACTATCTACGAATCAACCCAAATTATTGGTATCTTAATATGATACCAACTGTACACGCTCCGTCTGAGCATGTGCCATTGACCGGAAGGAGTGATAGTCGGACGGTGCAATGTGTGATGAATGTGGCGGGTGGGGTAAAACTTCCCAATCAAGGGTTTTAAATTTTTTCACTGAAGCTGTTACATGTGTACGAGCATTATCATAAAGAAGAACTATTGTGTCATATCTGGAGTATTATTGTTGGCGTTTTTCTTTAGAACTTCGCCCAATCTCATCAGCTGTGTTCAGCGCAGCAGGTTCGGACCAGAAAGGAAAGGGGTTTTAGATCAGTCGGTTTTAAGGGGCATGCAAAGAGATGGTTAGTGCCATGCGGGATCTCGTTGCATGCAGGACAAACGTAGGCTATGTCGGCGGTAAGCCTGGATATGTAGAAATCAAGTCCACTGCAATATCCAAATCTTAATTGTGCCATTATTACTTGGGTCTGTCTCGAAAACTAGCGGTGAATGGCGTTTAAAACCTGTCGGTACGTCGTCCCTTGCAGCGGTTCTTGTCGTTGGTGCTGTATGCAGTCGGTATAGCCTAATACTCCCTTCCTGATGTACGCCAGAGGAAGTTCAACCTCAATTAAATGTCACTTTGCGTATCAGTGTCCCTGGAGATTTTGTTTGCTCCTCATAACATAACTTAACTCTTGATGCTACGGTGTCAAGAGAAGGTTTCCCATCGCGGTCCTGAGGGCGGTGTTTTGACACGCTTGTAATTTCTTCATCTTCGTCTCGCTAGTTCCCGGCTTCCGTATCGCAACAGTATAATTTTCGACCGCTCGGCCAATTGCCTGGTATGTTGCAAGCAACGTTCATTTGTCTTTTCTCCCACGCACTGCTGGCTAACGATTTGAAGGTTTTGCTGCGATTCTATACTTTTGTGGCAATCGCAGTCGTATGCGGAGTTTAAGAGTGCTGGCTGTCGAATGTAACTTAGGATTGTTAGTTGTCGAATTTTTTAAGCTATCGAGTTTCTGCTGGTACTCCTTCGTCTAACTGGTGAAAATGGTAACAGGGAATTTCGCAGGTCATAGCGGTTGGTGTTTTGCAGTGAAGTAGCGGGAACCGCCATCTCGGTTAGTAGCAACCTAATATAATTTTTCGGTTTCGTTTTTATTTTCTTTAGGGTTTCTTCTGCAATACTCCACATAATATTTTGTATTTTAAATATATATATATGTATATATATATTTGTTGAATGAAATTAAGATTCTTTTACTCATTTGTTTTTTTTTTATAAATTTTAAACAGCAATTTTTTCTTCTTAAAATACTAAAAATTAAAAATATATATTTTTCAAACATTTTTCACTTGATTTAAATTTTTTAAAGACTTATGCTTTGCTATATCTCTTATGAATAAGAATTTGTTGCAGCCATTTTTTATTTTATATTATATTATTTTGTTCCAATTATAATTTGCTTTGGCTTTTGAAATTGTTGGCTTTCCTACATTTTATTTTCGCGTACAACGCACTTTCAGTAAAGAAATGAAAATACAGGATTTTGTTGTGTTATTTTTTCTTAACTTTTATTAATAGTTTTTCTTTGTGTTGTTTTTAGTTTTTATTATAATTTATTTTGTTTACATTTTTTTTCTATAAATTTTAATTTTAATAGATTTTTTTAGTTTAATTTTGTATTTTTTCACACTTCATATTTGTTCATGCATTTATTTTTGCGTTTTTGTCCTTATATTTTATATATATTTAAATATTTTAATAATTCTCTATACACATCCTGTATTCTTCGCCCGTTCTTCTTCTTAAGCACTCTACTGCTTGCTCAAATAAAAACAATTAATTTATTGAAAATAATTAACGATGAGTTTAATTTTTAATTTTTTGTGATTTTTTTTTTCTTTTTTTTTTTTTTGTAAATTGACTTTAATGCGAAGAAAACAGCAAATATATTTAAAACAAATAACAATTTGCACAACAAATAATTATAGAAAAAAAAAAACACATACACATGCAAAATATAATATGACTTTTAATTAAATAAATTATTTATTTATGTATTCGCGTATGCATTTTGTTTATAAATACAAGTGTTTAATTGTGTTCATACACAGTGGTTTGTATATTTAAAAATAAATTAACAGCAGACTAAAATAAATAACAAAATTTGTGACACGCACTTTAATAAAGTTTTTTTTACGTAAGTTTTCAACATAGCTTATATTGTTGTTGTTTTTTCCTTTAAATTTTAAAATTTAATTTATAAATTATTTTGTTACATTTTTCTGTGAGTGTGTGTGTGCTTAACATAAATAGCTTATGAAATTTACATAAAAGTGATGTTGTTGTTTTGTTTTAGTAAAACGGTGAAAGCACATTTTGGTTAAGTTTGCTCAGAAATATTTTTTTTTTTGCATTTTTTGTTCTTTTTTTTGGTTTTTTTTGGAGGGAAATCCAAAAATTATAGCTTTTAAGGTTTTATATTTATATTGGGAGAAAATTCCGAAAGTAGTTTCTTGTTTAAATTTTTGTCTAAGCAATTTACTGATGCGAGCTTTTTACTTTTATGTTTTAGTACTTTATTTTCTACGTTTTCTGACGCTTGCGTATCTCTGTAGTGTTGTTTATTAGCAGGTTTGTATACTATTTAGCTTATCAACGTATGCTTTAACGGTCTCGTAGTACAAAATCGTTTTATTTAAATAAAATGATTTTATTTTATTTTTTCTCTTCCTTTTCTTTACAACTTTTTACACTATTCGCAGCCATGCTAATTATTAATTTAATTATTTTTTTTTTAGTTTTTTTTATGTAAAACTGTTTTGCTCTAATTTTTTTTTTTTTACTTAACATAAAATAATGATTTTTTTTTAATTTTTTCTAACTTCATTTTTATCGCATTCTATCTCACTGCATATAAATTTTTTTAGCTACACTTTTTTTTGTCAGCTATAATAAATATATATATGTTTCTCTTTATTTATATTAACTTTATTGTGTTCATTTAGGACTAGCTTTTTATCATCTGTCTATTTTACATTTCTCTTCTGTTCTGTTTTGGCTTATAAATTGTATTTTTTATTAATTAGTATTTCATTAGGGTGGTGCATTTTTCGCATGAAAAATGGCGTGTGCATATAAATATACTTATACATATGTATGAATATAAATATAATTAAATATGCACGCATTCATTGTTAGTAAATATGAAAGTAGTTGCTTTGTTCCATTTGTTTTTAACCTGCCTCTCTGCTAGCCTAAGTGCGTATGCACCTTTATTTTAATAAATATTATATTAGACTCTTTCGTTTTTACATTAGTATTGAGAAAAATAAAACAACTAAATATATACATACATACATGTTTTATGTCAAAAAGTAAAATAAAATAGCCAAATTGAGCACCGCAAACAAGAATTCGAATGTCAAACTAATTTTCTTGTACACATTTACAATTTACCGTGCTGCATATACGAATAATCTACATTATAAACCAATGGAAATTCATAAAATGATAAATTTTGATAAAAAAAAATCACTTAACGCACTGTTATTTGATTTAATTTTCTTTAAATATATTGACATTTGTTTTTTTTCATCTTTTTTACATTTATACAAATACGTTTTTCATATATATTCAATATATATATATTTATATATATAAATAGATATATTATTTCTGTATTTATATATTAGTATATATCTTTGGACTCGATCAAAAATTGCACATTTACACGTAGAAATTTACAGAATTTGGCGTGTAAAAATTGGTATTATCATCAGATTGCTGCTACTGTTGTTATTTTTCTTCTTCTTGCCGTTGTTGTTATGCGTCAAACAATTAATTGGCGTCTTGATGTTGATTTCGCATGTTGCATTTTGCTTACGTTGCATGCCAATTGACAGTTATTCATTACCGTTTATGTAGTTGCGGTTGTTGTTAGTGTTGTTGTTGTTGCAGTAGCAATAAATTTGTCTTTGATCTGTTTTACAATTCAGTTTGTTCTTCATTTGCTTAACCATCCATAATTAACGATAGTATTTTGCATCAGATTTTTGGCTGTTAATAGCATAAATAGTTTCTCTTTTAAATGTGTATATGTATGTATGTGAGTATGAATATGTGTTTAAGTGGCGACATACATATATGCATATGTATGCACATGATGTGGTGAGCGCACAAGGGCATTTTAGTTAGTATAAGTTAAAAAAAAAAGTAAATTGTATAAGTATTGGATGTATTTGGATTAAGCAGCAACATTTGCTAAGAACTTCTTGGTAGTGCAGAGTTATATTAGAAGCGGGATTTTGCATTTTATACTGCTGTCTCATTTTTCTCTGTTCTACTCTTCAGCCATAATTTCTATAAAATTTTCCATTTTGCTTGCCATTTCTCTGCCCATTGTCCTTATGCGTCGCTGCAGCAGGTGTTACAGTGGCTGACGACATTATAGTCGTTTGCGTTTTTCTACAGGTTACACATAAGCATTTTTATTTTTTTTTTATTTTTTTTTTTTTTTTTGTTAATAATTATTAGGTTAGACCTATTTCTTACTATAAGTTGCAAGAGTCAGGTTTTTTTTTTGTTTTTTTTTTTGGCGGTGTTGTGTGAGTATGAACAGTGTAAGTATGCTCTTGTTGTTGCTGTTAAGAAATATTTTGCACGCGTATGTTGTTGATAATAAGTATGTGTGTATTTTGCTTACGCTCGCTCATAGAACAGTATATAGGCACTGGATGAAACTAGATTATGTTCAGATAATGTGTCGCTAACACTGCAAGTAAAGAAAAAGTTTTAGTTTTTTGAAAGTGATTCGTGATAAATGTGCAGTTAAGCTTACATATTATCGTTAAATTCATGCCACTTTTTCGACGCAGGATGTTTACATAACGCCACATAATGGCCGCCAGCTGTGGAACCTATTGAGTAAGAAAGATATGGGTTTAAGAACGGTTAAATATTAAATCGGAATGTAAAATTTTTTTTTATTAAATGTAAGGCCGCCCAAATACCATTTCACATCCTAAAGACTCAATATTAATTAAACTTTCAATATTTCCCACTGCCCGCAATTTTTTAAGAAACAAATTCCAAAATAAAATCTTCTTTAGTCTTCTTTTATTCACACTTCATTCGATAAAAAACAAGACGATTTTAAGCTGTTGTTGTAGTAACCGCAAAATTTTTCGCCAAATAGATTTTCGTAGAGGATTGCAGCAATGACAGGCCTTGACTGATTAAAAATCTGGGTATTTATTTTTATTTTATTTTATTTTATTTTAGGCTCGCATTTGCCGGTGAAGCCTTAAGAGCAATTTCTGCAGAGAACCCCTGCGGGTTAGGGGCTCAAGAATTTACCCGCAGTAAGGCATGCCTATCGTAAGAGGCGACTAAAATCCAATAGTTCCCGCGACAGTCGGGTCTTTATACCGGAACGACCCGGATTTTTATCCGGCCAAGGACTGTCACTCCCGCAATATTCCCCAAAAAGTACTTTGGGGAATAGTTTTGCGTTTACAACAACAACAACAACCATTCAATAGTTTTTTATGAACTTATGAGCACTATAGAAATGTAAGTCTACTCTGTAAGGTAAGATCTTTCTTCGAAGAGTGCTTCAAACCCCCTGACAGATTTTCAGACCTTCACAGGTAATTAGAAAGCACAACTCGAGTGGTTAGTTGTACAGCTTCATAGAGCTGATGTATAAATGCGTTCACAATTTCCCAAAACCGCCTTGGGCTTGCAATTGGCTTTTAAATGAGTAAACCATAACTCAATCACCACGCAATTCTGAGTTTTAATATTCATTTTAACCTTATTTTTTGTTTTGACCATTTACATATTTTGTCCCTCACAAAACTCTATACAAAAAAACTATCCCCTGTAACAATAAAATTTCAGTGTGCTGACTGCTATTCGATTTGGCTACTAAAAAATACTTAGGACTTCGATTTCTCTTTTGATTTTTTTCTTCACCTACAACTAAGTTTAGCGCAAAAACTCACTCTCACGGTCATTCATATTCAACTTACCCATATGATTTGAAATCGCATAGAGTGAATAATATATATTCGAATTGGGATTTGAAGCGTAGGGACCCATATTCAGTTCACGTTCACCGGTTGGAAATTCGACAATATTCGACAATTTGCTCCAACGTGTCTCTGAGAAGCGTTTCAAGTCTGCGTGAAAAATGGAAATAAATTTTATATAAACCATCAATGTCACATCTCATAGAGTACAACAACACTTACGTATAACTAAATATTTGGGAAATCGTTGTATGGTAAAACTTTTCGTACATCTTCTACGTTGGCGACATTTCGAACACGTTGGCATTTCATCGCCATCCAACTCCTCTTCGCGTATGAATAGATCAAGGCAAGTTTCCAGCTTGCAACGCGACGATGATGGCAACGACACACTCAAATCCCAAAACGGATCGAAGGTAACGCTTGTATTGCCGCAGGTGGTACAACGTAATGTACTCTTCAGCTGACCGACAAAGAGATCACGAATGAGTGAGTTCTCGTGTCGTGCATACCACTCCCACGTTAGATCGGCTTTTTTATTGTCACTAAATGAAACGGAATGCAAGAGAAATGGTATTTATTTGAGAGATAAAAAGTTTGGTTTCATCTAAAGAAGCTTGCACTCACCTAAGATTATCGTCGATTTTCAAATGTTCACCCTTTACGCCCGAATTCAGTGCACTGTGCAGGGAGTCGAGAAAGAAGCGCAGAAATTCTTGTGCATCCTGTTGATTATAGTCACTGTACATGCGATGTTTGGAGGAAAAGGCGCGCTTCAGATCCATTGGCGTGACGCTATGCACATTACTGGTCCACATTTCGCGTATCAATTTAGCAAATTCTGTTTTGAAAAAAGAAAAATATGCGTTTTTACTTTCACTCTCTCTATCGCTCTCTCTTTCTGTACCTTGCTACTCTCAATTCTACTCACCTTGTAGGATTTGCTGATCCTTCGACGATGTGGCGCGTGTGCCATTGTGTGTACGTAAGAATTTTGTCAATTCGCTTGTGTGACTCAGGCACTGTATGACCGAATTCATAAAACATGTATTTCCAATATTTCTCAGCCCACATAGACCTGTTTGAAGAAGTATAAACATTAATATTAAACTCATTACTCTGGAGATTTTTGAAAAAATAAATATGATTTAGGATTTCTTTTTCGACAAATTGCAAAGATAAATTGTAAATTTAAGCACACCCGCTTCGGCTCTATATAACATTCAGAAGTAAACAGAAATTTGTATTAATGACGCGACAAAAATGATATATCTTGACAAACTATTCGACAAATTTATGGACTGCCAACATTTCCGAATTTAGTTTAGTGTCTTGAAGTGGCGCTGACAAGCAGAAAAGAAAAATAAAAAATTTATATTCTCAAATTGAAATTTTTTTAAATGGATTAGGGGTGTTCATAAAGGTAATAAGAGAGATGCTTAGTAAGAAAATTATGATTTTTTATTAATCCTTTTTTTTTCTTAAAAAAAAATATAAAATTTTAATTTGTTTTAAAATATATATTTTTGTTTGGTCGCAAAGGTTTCTAAGACACTGAACTTATATATAATATTAAACAGTGGTTTGGAGTTTTCAAAGAAAAAAATATCGAAAAGAATATGTTTGGTATACATTTAAGGAGGAGGTCAATCAACAAACCCTCTACGAGCAGCTTTAAAGGCCAAAAAGAGAAGCCTTCTGTGCGTTTTGGATTGAAAAATTCACAAACAGTAGAACAAGCTTGTCGCGAAAGGGGGTTTTTATTGCAAGCCAAGCTGCGCTTTTGCCCGCAGTGCACCGCCACCGACGGCCTGTCGGTACGCCATCCACAGAGAGCTCATTATCAACATCTTTATAAAAGCTCTTCCCGTGAATGATACGCTCGGAATCCAACTACCGTTGCAGACGAAGAGCTCGAACAGTCTCTCAATACCCAAGTGCAGACCTGGATAATCTAGTATACTCAATTCATTCTCATCCGAACTCGAAATCTACACACTTAAAGTCCCCGACACTAACCACTGATTTACATTCCCACTAAAAGCCACTCATCTAGCATTCCCCTCTCCCTCTGGTCCGAACCAGAACAATTTCAGCGAGATCGGAGCTATACGATTGTGAAGTTGGATGCATCTTGTTGTTGTTGTTGTAGCGACTTGCTCAGCCTCCTGCTGGGGGCAAGTAAAATGAGTCTACGTCGGCGAGATCCAAGAAACGAGCTTTTTCAATGGGTTCACACCAGAGCCAGGGAGGTGTTAGAAGAGTGCGCAAAAAGGTGCTTAGTGTCGTATGGCAACTCATTGGAAGAGTTCAAGAAGCTTTTCGTTGATATTTGTGAACTCCACGCAATGTGTGTACGTCCTTTCTCTTCTCCAACAATTGGTTACTTGTTCTAACAGCCTAACTTCGTTCATTTTTCAAAGCTTGTTTTCCCCTCCACCTCTAGACGATATTTGACAATCAGGGAATTCAAGAAAGTAAAGAGATGCCGCAGCACTGAGATCTGGTTTGTCAATAGAACCAGCGAACAAAGTTTAAAAGAAGTCCGAGATCTGTTCAAATTGGGCCACAGCTCGTAAAAATATGTTACCCTTTTGAGGAGTTATTATATAGAGGTGCCGAGCTTAAAACTTTGTACTGATCGCACGGGCGAAATCTCAACCATTTGACGAAAATATGACCTATAAACAATATACTGGACTACCTGGAGTTTGACATTTAAAATGAATTCTCTACAGTTTACGCAAAGTCTTACCTTCGCTATTTTCATCCCTCGTCTTGTTGGCATCATCCAAGTTATTAGACGCCGATGAGGGTGAAGAAGAGAGCGCCGATGTTGTTGTTGTGCGGCTGTCACGATCCCAATAACGTGATGCGGTAGGTGATGGTGGTGCCGGCGGAATACTCCTCAGAGCCGTGCTGCGAATCTGTGTATCGGCGCAAGTAGAAAAAAGGGGAATTTTTAGTAGAATATAAAAATAATAATTCGAATAATTTTTCATTTTTAGTTAAAAAATTTTTGTGAAAAAAGCAAAATGCTTATAAAATAAATGTGAGTAAATTACAACAAAAATATTAGACGAGCAGTTAACAAGAATTTGGCTTGTTGGGTTAAAAAAATTAATAGTTGGTTTTAAAAATGTTTGTTAAGCGAAAATCGTAAAAAAACGAAGGTCAAAAGAGTTTTTCCGACACGCAAAAAACAAAACGCTTTAAAGAGGAAAAAAGAATATTGGCTGTAGAAATAGATGCGGCAACATTCAACGAAGCCAATAAGGACTGGCAAGTTAGTGAAGAGCGTTAGAATGACAGTAGTTCGGTGAAAAAATTGAGCTTAAGTGCTTAACGGTACATATTAAATTATTTTTATTTATAAAATATAAAATTAATAAAACTTAAAATGTTTAATGCATGATAATTTCAAAACCCTTTCATAACGCTGATGGCTGACGATGATGGTGATGAGATGAAAACTGATGTCGAGCAGAAAATTGTGATCGCAACACGTGAAAACCAAAGATTAATCCTAAAGAAACTAACTGACAAGCTGAAGAACTCATAAGCTGGCGTACTGATGAACGAAAGCGCTCGTGCGCGCTTTCAATACACGACGGATGGAGTGATCTGGTCGGCGCTAATTGTGTGTTTTGAGTTTATGAGCTAATGCTGGTGAGCGTTTCTTGTGTGATGACTGATAATTTTCAGATTTGTTGTATATAAATAAATATTTGTTTTTTTTTCGAGTGTTGATGGATGCAACTTACACTTTCGACATCTGTGCCGACGGCATCGCACACGCCATTCGTTTCGCACTTTTTCACATCGCCATTCAACAATTTCAACTCTGCTTGCTTTGACGCCGCGGCCGTCGCATCTTTATGCAGCAACGCGCCCGGTGCGGCACGTTCCGAAGCGCGCAAGAGTGACACTTCCTGATGCCGATTGCTAGTCATCGCGCTACCGATACTTTTCGTAGGCAAACTATTAGTACTACTTGCGGCGCTGCGCAGCGACGACGACGAAGACGGTGATGAGCCTGTCGAACAGGCTGCCACTAACGACGGCGCATGCATTGTGGCAGTTACTTTGCAGGCTGTGGCCGGTGAGGGTGAGGGTGACGCTGTACGGTAGGGCGCGCGCGTCAATGAACCACCACCACCGCCGCTTTGTGCCAACCGCAGAAGGCTACCGCTGCCGGTGGTGGCGTGATCAAATTCGCTGCCGCTATGACGATGATGTTGCAAATTGTTTGTACTACCGCTGGCGCCATGCGAACGCAGCGTAACATGCGGCGCGCTTGCCGCACCACGCTTTTGTTCGCTAAAACTATCGAATTTCTCTATAGAGGCTCTTATACTATTCGAGTCGATGCTGTGTCGTAGCTCATGACGGCGCGCAGCAGCTGCCTCGGCTGCTATTTTAGCCGCGCTACTACCGCCGCCACCACCCGCACTGCCATTGGCGTACTTGTAATTGTTGATCTTCTCGAAAACGAGATTGCTGGTGGAACAGATGATAGTCGACTTTGGGCGCATGCGTGTTTTAAGCGACGCGCCGACGCTACTACTAACACTACTTGCAGGCGTTGCTGTGGTGGGAGTCGCGCAATTGGTATGCTGACAACAGAGTTGCTCACAACGCAACTGTGTTTTCCGCTCCAGCTGCGCGCCACCACGTGAGGGTGTAGTGACGGTAGTAGCTGTGGCATGCGCTGCCGCCGCTGTTGTTGGCGCATCATCACTGTCTATGTACTTTATATCGTCGTGCTCGATAGTATTCTGCATGCCGTTAACGCCGCTGCTGATATTATTATTGCTGCTGGCGCTGTTGTTGCTGATATTGGCTACGCCGCTGGCGGCGTTATTGTTAACGTTGTTATTGTTGTTATTGCTGATACGATTACTATTGCTGCCGAAGCTGTTGAACAACTTATTGGAGTAGGCGTTCACGTTATCGCGCGCGCCCGTGATATTCGCAGCCGCCAACGCGGTCGTCGGTATGGTACGATGCACCAGAGGTCGCACCAATTTACCTTGGCCGTTACTCAGCTTAGAGGCGGACGCTGACACACTGCCGCTGGTGGTAGCAAGTGCTGAGCTTGTTGTTGCTGCTGGCTGTGTGCCGTTGAGCGTATGCAATGGCGTTTGTTGTTTACTCAAACCTTTGGACGAAAAAAATCGGCTACTGCCGTTCGTTTGCGTCTGCGTGCGATTATTGAAGACAATGTCGACTTTGTGGACGGTGGTATCTGGTGTTGTTGCTGTAGCAGCAGTAGCCGTTGTTGTCGCCGATGTTGCTGTTGCTGCTGAAGCGTGCTTTGCTGCTGACGTAGACGTTATCGTCGCCGCCAACGCGGACGATGATGATGATGCACTACTGACGCTGTGGTGATGGTGAAGATGATGATGATGATGTGAATTGATATTGACGCTGGCGTTGGCGCTACCGCCGCCGCTGCGTCGCATGCCATTAGTTGTTACCGCCGCCAGTGTTGCTGCTTTTGCTGCCGCTGTTGTGGCTTTTGTTGTTGAGAGACGTCGACCAACCGTATTGTTGTTACTTTGGTTATTGCTGTTGCTGTTGTTGTTGTTGTTATTGCTTATATTCAACGCGCTATTTCGTCTGCTATTGCCACTCGTTTGCTGATGGCTCGCGTTATTATTGTTTTTATTATTTTTCACTGCCTCAGCATGGGCTGTTATACTCTTTTGCTGCTGTTGCTTTGGTGCTAACTGCGCATGCGCCAAATCACATTCTTCCTTCAGAAAATCTTGATCTTGAAATTGTGGTAGCAAAAAGAATGGCCTATTGGCCGCGCGTACCGGATTTGTGTCGCTATTGTTGTTGTTGTTAGCGTTTTTGTTATTATTATTATTGTTGTTGTTATTATTGTTATTTTTGTTTTTGTTATTGTTATTATTATTATTATTATTATTATTATTATTATTATTATTATTATTGTTGTTGTTGTTGCTGCTGCTGCTCTGCTCGCCGCTGGCGCTACTGGTGTTACGCGTGCTGCCCACCGACGCAGCACGCCTGCCACCAGCCAAGAGTAATCTCGCCTCCGCTCGGCTATTGAGAGTGGCTGTTCGGGTTGCTGTTGTTGTTGGGTTTTGATTGCTTATTATTTTAGTCGTTGTTGTTGCTGTTGTTTTTGCAATTGGTGGTGTTGCTGCTAATGGTTGCAGTACTTTGGTATTGAAATTGTTGTAATTGGCGTTTGGCTGCTGTTGCTGCTGTTGCGGCTGCTGCGCAAATATAACGGTACGTGGTTCACATTTCTGCCTCAATATTGGAAATTTGGAAATGCTGTTTCGCCGTTTACTAATGTCTATCATTATATTTTCACGCTTATTTCGTATGAAATTCGTACGACCTCAATCAACACAAATCAATTGTTATTGTTTTTAATGCTTTTGTTGTATTTTAACTTAATTCCTTTTTTTATTTTTATTATTTACACTTGTATCACCTTTTCTGTATTCTTCTTCGTTTGTTATTTTGTATGTATGTCGATTTTATTTGCTAATTAAATTTGCACAGATTTTTTTTTTAATTTAATATTTTTAATTCTTGCTTATTCGTTACGACACATACTCGTATTGTACATAAATCTACTGTGGAATGTGGAAGTTATTCAATTAATTATATGCCTCATTACTTTGCTTTGTCGTTTTATACGCTTTTTGTATTTATATTTCTTTTTTCTTTGATTATTTCTTCATTTTGTTTGGCAATTTTTTCGCTTTCTCACTTTTTGAAATTTCAAAAATTGCTTTTTTGTTTTTATTTTTTCGGTTAGTTTTGAAGTTTTTTTTTTTTTTTTTTTTTTTTTTTTTTTTTGAAAATTACACACGGCTTTTTGGCGTCGCCTATTCGTCGTATTTTGTAGCAAACACTGCGGGCACGATTTTGTTGTACGCTTTCANTTATTATTGTTGTTGTTGTTGCTGCTGCTGCTCTGCTCGCCGCTGGCGCTACTGGTGTTACGCGTGCTGCCCACCGACGCAGCACGCCTGCCACCAGCCAAGAGTAATCTCGCCTCCGCTCGGCTATTGAGAGTGGCTGTTCGGGTTGCTGTTGTTGTTGGGTTTTGATTGCTTATTATTTTAGTCGTTGTTGTTGCTGTTGTTTTTGCAATTGGTGGTGTTGCTGCTAATGGTTGCAGTACTTTGGTATTGAAATTGTTGTAATTGGCGTTTGGCTGCTGTTGCTGCTGTTGCGGCTGCTGCGCAAATATAACGGTACGTGGTTCACATTTCTGCCTCAATATTGGAAATTTGGAAATGCTGTTTCGCCGTTTACTAATGTCTATCATTATATTTTCACGCTTATTTCGTATGAAATTCGTACGACCTCAATCAACACAAATCAATTGTTATTGTTTTTAATGCTTTTGTTGTATTTTAACTTAATTCCTTTTTTTATTTTTATTATTTACACTTGTATCACCTTTTCTGTATTCTTCTTCGTTTGTTATTTTGTATGTATGTCGATTTTATTTGCTAATTAAATTTGCACAGATTTTTTTTTTAATTTAATATTTTTAATTCTTGCTTATTCGTTACGACACATACTCGTATTGTACATAAATCTACTGTGGAATGTGGAAGTTATTCAATTAATTATATGCCTCATTACTTTGCTTTGTCGTTTTATACGCTTTTTGTATTTATATTTCTTTTTTCTTTGATTATTTCTTCATTTTGTTTGGCAATTTTTTCGCTTTCTCACTTTTTGAAATTTCAAAAATTGCTTTTTTGTTTTTTTTTTTTCGGTTAGTTTTGAAGTTTTTTTTTTTTTTTTTTTTTTTTTTTTTTTTTTTTTTTTTTTGAAAATTACACACGGCTTTTTGGCGTCGCCTATTCGTCGTATTTTGTAGCAAACACTGCGGGCACGATTTTGTTGTACGCTTTCACCGTGAATTTTTGCCGAGATTTTCGCGTTAATTTTATTGTTGCAAACATTTTTGTTGTTTTGTTTTTTCTTTATATAATATATTTCTATTTTTATTTTTTTTTTTACTTATTTTTTTATACAATTTGTATGGATTTGTTCTTTTTTTTTATTTATTTTTTTTTTTTGCTCTTTTGTTAGTAAAATTTTATTTGGTTTGTTTAATGATCTGCGTTATTTTTATTTGTTTTTGTCTTTTTTTATTTCTTGTTTGGGGGGCAAGGAGGAGGAGTTCAAAAATATATATGTATGTGTTTAGGCGTTCACGTTCGTTTCAGTGACAGCAACAAGGCCTGCGAATATTCATCTAGAAGAAAAATACACGAGAAGAGGAAACACAAACAAGTTACATGACGATGCTTTTGGTTAGTAATGCGTATGTACGTGTATGTATGCTTGATTATACGAATATATGCATGTATGAATGAGCAAATAAATGTATGGAAATTTTTTTGTTTTAATTTTCTATGAAGGTAAGTAAATTTTTTGATCATGATGCTGAATATGGCACAGATGACGCAGTCGATGATGCTGCTACCGTTTGGCATAGACACAACCTTTTATACGTGTACTACCCATCTGTACATATCTGCAAACATACATATCTGTACATTCATTAAACATGTGGGCGACAAAGAGACGTCGATTGACTGAGCAGATGTAGCAATTCAATGAGATTAAGTTACAATACTATATACATAAACCTATGTATGTACATATATATATTGTATATGCTTGTTTAACAATAAATTTTCTAAGTTCAAATATATTTACGCATTTATGTATCGTTAGAGCATGTTTTCAAGCTTTTACCCAGCTTTGTTGATATGTAATACATTTATATATGTATGTATGTATATGAAGTTACATATGTATAAGTGGAATAAAACAGCTAATCATCATTTCCTATTCTATATGTAGGCACTAAATACTTAGTTTATAGGTATGTACATACATACATATATAAATATGGACACACAAAGTATCACCTACGAAAATGCAAGCATCTTAACCTTTTCATTTATCCGTGAGACAATCAATTTTAATTAGAAAAAAAATATGTGTTTTTGTTGTTCGTTCATTTATTGTGCTTGTGGTAAGCACTAACAAAAATGTGTGGGCGTGTTTTGGGTAGAAGCAATTGAAAAACTATATATGTACTTATGTATGTCCCTATATTTGTTTATCTACTCCGCCGCACACAACTTTAGTAAATTTGAAAAAAAAAAAAAACAAAAAACAATAAATTAAAAGACAAAAAATTATTTTAAAATTTTCTCAACATCTTTTTAATGCGCTAAAGTGAAAAATAAGTTGAAATATAAAAAAATTGCAAATTTTATTTCACAAAATATTATTTTTGCTGAGATTTGGCATTAAAAACATTCAGAATCACTTTCGATGAGGTCAACAAACTGTTGAAAAACATTAATGTCAAACAGACTTGATTAAGCTTGACATTTTCTATTATTGCTATTTTTAGTATTGGTTTTTTTTCATACTTATAATATTTTTAATTTTATCATAATTTTCAATTCTTTTTTAATTTTTTATTATTTTAAATTATTATTGGTTGAAATTTTCAGTTATTTTAATTTTTCATTTATTTTAAATTTTTTATTGTTGTAAATTTTGTGTTATTTTAAATTTATTTGTTTAAAATTTTTTATTGTTTTAAATTTTGTGTTATTTTAAATTTATTTGTTTAATTTTTATTATTAATTACTTGCATTTACTTATTGATTATTATTATTATTATATTTTATTTTTTTTATTAGTTTTTTTTTCTTTTTTATTTTTAAATAAACTTTAAGTCTTTAACTTTTTATTATATTTCTATTTTCATGCGTTTATTATTATTTTAATTCTTTTAGTTATTCATTTTTATTGTTAATTTTTTTCATTCCTTTTCTACATTTATCCTCTAGTCCTTTACTTTTATTCATTTATTGGTTTTATCCGTTTATTCTTTTATTATTTTAATTATTTTCATTTTTCAATTTTTATTAAATAAATATATATCATTTCGAATGCTATTATTATTTTTTTATTATAGTGTTAATACTTTATTATATTTATTTTAAGTTTTTGCAATTTTTATTTGTATATCTTTTGAGTGTCATTATTTTTATTGATATTATTATATTTTTTTAATTTAATCTTTTTAATATTTTGAGTTTTAAAATTTTTTATTTTTTAATAATTTTATCTTTTTATTGCTTTTTTACTATTTTCTTCTATTATTTTTTTACTGTTCTTAACTATTTTTTATTACATTTTTTTATTATTTCTTTTTATTTTTTATTTATTATTGTTATTTTAATTATTATTTTGTATAATTATTTTATATTTTTTTATTTTTTTATTATTATTATTTATTTTACTTTTTTTATTATTTATTATTATTTTGTTATTTTTTTATTATTTTTTTATTATTTTTTTATTATTTTTTTATTATTTTTTATTATTTTTTTATTATTATTTTATTAGTTTTTCATTATTTTTTATTATCTTTTTCATTATTTTTTATTATCTTTTGATTATTTTTTTATTATTTTTTTTATTATTATCATTTTTTATTATTATCTTTTTTTATTATTATCTTTTTTTATTATTAATTTTTTTATTATTTTTTATCATTTTTTTCTTTTTTATTATTTTTTATCATTTTTTTCTTTTTTATTATTTTTTTATTATTTTTTTATTATTTTTTTATTATTTTTTTATTATTTTATTATTATTATTTTTTTATTATTTTATTATTATTATTTTTTTATTATTTTATTATTATTATTTTTTTATTATTTTATTATTATAATTTTTTTTATTCATTTTCTAATATTTCTTTTTATTATGTTTTTTTACTATTCTTTTCTTAATATTTTTTTGAAATATTTGTTATTATTATTTTTTTATTATTATTATTTTTTTATTATTATTATTTTTTTATTATTATTATTTTTTTATTATTATTTTTTTTTATTATTATTATTTTTTTATTATTATTATTTTTTTATTATTATTATTTTTTTATTATTATTTTTTTTTATTATTATAATTTTTTTATTATTATAATTTTTTTATTATTTTTATTTTTTTAATATTTTTTACGTTATAAGTATTTTTTTAAGTATTTTATTATCGTTATTTTTTATGCTTATTTTTCACGATTATTTTGTTACGATTTTTTTATTTCTCTTTTTTATTACTAATTTTATTTTTTTTATTTTAATTTCGTTTCTTATTTTTTAGTAAATTTTTCTTATATTTAATTATATTTACAATATTTTTTTATTGCTTTCATTGCTTATTTATTATTATTAATAATATATTCTCACGATTATTTAAATCTTTTTTTGTTTTTTACTTTTATATTTGTTATTGCTTTTATTTAAAAAAAAAATCAATTTTCTTTTAGCAGTATAAAATTTATTTTAGACCAATGTTTAAAAAATACTTTTTATAGGATATTTCTTTGAGTTGAGAAAATAAATATAAGAAGCGAAATCCAAAAAAATAATTATTTAATTTAATTACTCAAAATTGTTTTTATTTTAAGTTTTTTCCTTTTTTGATTTTAATATCTGTCGATTATTAAATATAAATGCTACGTAAAAACAAATACACTCCAAATTGACACTCGAATAAAAAGTAGAAGATCTTAACTTTATAATAACTTTACTTATATGAATGATGTCTAAAGTGATGTCGTCATTATAAATATAAATATATATATATATATATATATATAATATATAAAGCCATCTTCATATTATTTGTGAATGTTCGTATGAATGATGGGCGATAAGGTCAGACATGTTATGTAGGCCTAAAGAGTTATAGTTTAAATTTGTGTCAGTCGAAATTCTTTTAATCAAAATGTTAATGTTCAGCTCAAGATTGGGTTTATCAAGATCCCATTAATTTGGCAAAAAATCCCACTTTACAACCTCCTAAGAACAAATTCGAGTTCTCTAATAATCAGCAATGTTCGATGAGCTGAATGTATTCGGATACCACAAGGAGGAGGATAAGCAGTCCCTCAGGGAATAAGGTGTACAAAAAAGCGGCAGTGCTTGGTTTCTTCAAATAGAATTTTGCAGTTTCTTCAACTAGATACAAAAAAAAAATAATTATTTTGAATATTTTTTCGTTTTTATTTTCCCGCCAATAGTGTTAAAACTATTTTTTATTATGCAGATAGTAAATTTTATGTTAGTATTGGTAGTGGCAATCAAACACATGCATTGGGCAAAGTGCGCGCGTCGCAAACTGAGTATTTGTTATTATCAAAAGTTAGTGCAACGCAGCGTATAAAAAGTGGGATAAAGTAAGAAAGTAGCAAGTGAAACAACAGTCAATTAGACACAGAAGATAAACTGCGAAGCGACAGCACAATGCAATGGCGACCAGTTGCGGCCCCATTTGCTGGCGTATTGCATTTTGTCGCATGCGATTTTTACCTTCTTCGCTGTGATGGGTGAGTCCGGCATTTGGAGTGTTGTGCTGGCGCATACCTCAGCGCCGCCAGCTGCCGCACTGCTGTTGGTTTGTGGCGTTTTGAGTTCATAGGATGATTTGGTGGTGTTGGTGGTGTGGGTGGTGGTGGCACAGTTGTCCACTACATCCAAATTATTGGCGCTATGATTGCGCTTCAATTCGTTGTCGTTGCTGTTGTTGCTATCGTTTGAGGTAGTCAATGCGCTGAGATGACCGCTGCTATTGCTAGCGCTGATCGTTGTCCTTTTGCTATGTAACGGCACAGTCACAGTCGTAATGCTGCCACTGCTGCTATCCTTGTATAAACCACTGCCACTGTGAGAGGTGGACAATTTCAGTTCCTTCAAGTTCGTTTCGAGGTCATTTGTGCTGTTGCCGCTGTTATGAAGATTCGTTCTGCTACCCTGTCGACTGATGCTATCGCCAACGCTGTCTGCTTTACTACGCCTATCACCGTTACTCAGCTCCTCAGCCTTGGTGACGGTAGTTTTTGGTGCGATTGTGCGATTGCTGCGCAGCGTAAAAGTGGCTGTGGGCACATCACCGCTACTACTGCTATGACTCAACACTGAGGAGGACGATGCGGAGGATGCCAAAGCGTTCGCTGAGTTTTGTTTAGCTGCTGCGGCTGCCGCACGTTCGCGGTAACTGGAACGATGTGGTTTCGTCGTAGTTGATGTTGAATCATTTTCAGTTTTCGTGCTGTAGTTGTTATTGCTGAGCGAGCTGATGGAGTTGGTCGACTTCGCCTCATCGCCGGTGCTATACAAATGGCTATAACGGCTACGTGGTCGATCTAAGGTTATGTTGGTTACAGTCTCGTTGCGTGTGTCATCGTACGCTGCGCCGGTGTTGGTTAGTGACGATGAAGTGCCAGTGGCGGCAGCAACCTCAGCCTCAGTAAGCGCTGAGCTGGAACGTGACAGTTCAGTATTGGGTTTATAATTAGCAGGACTATATTTTTCATAGATTTCCAGACCAGATGTCGCTACTAAACGTGCTAAGGATGAGGATGAGTATGAGCCTGACAAGCGTTTGTTACCCGTCTCAGAGCCAGAGGGTGGCTTCTTAGCATCGCCACCATTTAAATCGTTGCTCTCTTTGTTCGTATCTCTATCCTTACGCTTGCGCAATGTATCGGTTGATGTCTTGGGTGATTTGGGTAACTGAGGCGGGCGCGCGCAATGTTTTACAGTTTGTTTGTTTGTTTTTTTTTTCGAATATTTTCAGTTTATTTAAACGATATGGGATTTTTCGAATTTTTGATGG